ATCAGGGGTGTTACTGTTAGTGGAAGCCATTGTCATTTTTAACCAAGTGTTAAAAAGAATTTATCTATTTGCACTTCTTCTGCTCTTCTTAGTTAAAAAGAAACAAAATTCAAAATGGGGAATGACTTTATGCCTTTTCTAGGTGTTCTACTGAGCAGGAGTACCTGAAAGCAGGTATACCATTTTCTTGCAGTGCTCCCATCCCACAAACATTTCCTATCCCTCACTGGAATGCTGCTGTATGTCAGACCTGAAAAATCTGGTACCTTCAAATGATCTGTTTAAGGAGACTAGGAAAAATGGTGGACCCAGCTGATCTCTTTGCATACTTAAATCCTCTCTTCAGATTTGCATGTTCAGTAAATGGTGTTATAAGTTTTGGTAGCCCTCAGTTGTCAGAATTTAAGATGCACAAGAAAAGGTAAGACTTAACGTATGGAAGGTACCTATACCAGTTTTTTTCTGTCTGCCAACACCATGAAGTAAATCCTCCTGTTTCCCCAGAACAGTGATAAGAGAATCTGAATTGTAGTGCCAGCAACCACCGAATTGCCAAGCAGATGATATACATGAAACTTTTTAAAGATGTCCCTCTCTATATCCTACCTCCCTAAAAAGCTCCCAAATAAGCAAACAGAAAAACTCAGTTTGGAGTCAATACACGTAAGCATGCATTAGTTATAATAAATGAACAATAAACCAGTATAGTGTTTATGAAACACCCACAGAAGGGATTTTTGTTGATGCTCAGAGGTGCTCTGGGGAGCAGAGAAGGCTTGGCAAGCTTAATCCACCAAAATCAGGTACTCCAGGGAATAAGTTTAAATCAATTTTAATACTGAAATACAAATGATAACATGAATGTACTTGGGGGAGGGGGGGAAAGGCAAACAAAGTTCTTTGTGTGAGTCTGATATCTTTTATTAGACCAACTTAAATAGTTGGGAAAAATTTTCTTAGCAAGCTTTTGGGTTTAAAAACTAGGGCTGTGAGAAGCTTCAGTCCCTGATTCGATTTGGCAGAGATTCAGCCTGATTCGGTGGCTGAATCTCTGAATCAAATCAGAGGACCCTTTAATCTCTCCAGATCGATTTGGAGAGATTCGGTGATTCAGACATAGACACACCTTTAAATGTTTTTTCTACATACCTCTAGACAGGTTGGGGCGTGGGGGAAGAAGGGGGATTAACTGTCCTTCTCTCACCCCCTCCACTCCCCGGCCTGTCTCTCACCCACTGACTCCTCAATTTACATCTTCACTGACTGCCTGTCTTGCATGCATACCAGCCTCTGGCATCTACTATTCAATCCATCCAGGAAGAGCGCACACAAACTGCAGATGCTTCCTCAGCCTGACGAAGAGTTTTTAAACCTGAAAGCTTGCTAAGAAATATTTTCCAACTATTTAAGTTGGTCTAATAAAAGATATAAGATTCAGCCAGAGAACCTTGTTTGCCTGTCCTTAGACCAACACAGCTACAACCTATACCCTTGGGGGAAAAGGTGATGTTCTGTAGGCATGAGGTTGTGGGAATCCAGTATTGTCCTTGATTAGAGTTACAGATCAAATAAGGCCAGCCTATAAAGATAAGCTAGCTCAGCTGCAGTCTGCAGAGTACTACAAAACAGGGACAGAACCAAGTTTCTGCAGAGCCATTTTACATACAAGGAAACTGAACAGTACTGGGTGCTAGGGTTTACTCCAGGTTGTAAGGATGTAGTAAGACATACTATTTGCTTTTCAGCATGTTTAAAACTTAATTCCTAGAGTACTATTCAAATTGAAAATGAAAAACTGGAGAATACCTCAATCTTGTCCCCTATCTTTATTCCATTTGTTCCTGTCCACTCATGTCTCACACCCAAATTGAATATCAACATTTGAATTTCACTTTGGCTATTGTATATTCTGAAATAACCTCTGTTGCCTGGAGTGGGTCCCAGTATTGTTTCTGACCCTGGGACAGTACAAGATCTTGCACAACTCTGTCAACAAAGTCCACAGTTTGATGCTCTACGAACTTTCACTAACCCCTGGAGAAAGTAATGGATGGTATGCAGCCAAAACAGCTAGTTATGGTGATAGTATTGTATGTGTTCAGCCCCTTTAGTCTTTAAGGACAAGGGCTTAATTCTTTCCCAAATTAGAAATCTCTTGGAGGGCATAAGTCCATCCTAAAATCTTCCTCTACTCCTGTCCTATTGATACAGTGTTCATTGTGCTTCTCCATTGTAGCACTGTGCCTATAGTACTCAAATGTTCTTCCAACTCCTTTATAAACCTGCAGCACATCAGAGGAACATTTATATTATTCAAATTGAACTTGTTCATTTTGAGTACCAGTCAGGTAGTGTAACTTTCCAGAACCCTAAAGAGCAGTCTTCTCTTAAAAATTGCTTAGAAAGGGAAATGGGGCATGAAAACACCCTGCACATTAGACTGGTTTAAATGCAGTTTTAATCTGAAGTAGACATACAAGTCTGTTAAACTGGCTTTAAGCTGCTTCAAATGATTTAAAGGTGCAGTAGAAAGTGGAAAATTGAGTGCTGTTTGAACCAAGTTAGTGATGGGTTCACATGTGGACACTCAGCATTCCAGGGCATCAGTCTGATGGTCCTCCAGGCATTCTGTGCTTCATTTCTCTTCAACCCTCCTACACCTGCTGCTGCAACTGGCCACTCTGGTATGTAGCCAGAACTCTACTGCCCCTTCATGCCCCTTTTATTGGCACTTTTTTATCAATTAGTTCCCTTGCACTGCTTGTTCAATAAAAGCTATCTTTCTAACAACCAGCTGTGTCCTTGCTTCCTCCTTGATTTATGCCCCCTCATCATGGCTCCCTAGGAGCTAGTAAATTGAGCTCTCTTCCCTTCCTTCCCTTCCCCTACCAAAGCAGGTAACAAAGAATTGACCGGGATTTTGGTCAATTTGGAGTTCATTGAACCTTCTGTTTCACAGAGAAGAGAACACCAAAAAGTAAGAACATCCCCACCCACAGGTCATTCACCCCCTTAGCCCCAGAGGGCATGAGTGCAAGTACCCAACTCCCACCTTCCCGACACACACACACACTCTGAGGCTGGTTGCTCATTCCCATCCCCTGCCCTCAGAACTACAGCACTTGACACAATTAGGTCTGTGTTGTGTCAAGTTGACAGGAGTTTTCCATAGAGTTTTTATTATGGTTTGTATGAGATGTTCTAGATAGGGATGATCCTTCCTCCAGCAGACTTCTAGAGCTCCAGTTTGACCCCTGTAAGATTTTATTAATTATGAATTGGTTCCCAGTAGGTAATGTGGGAACAGTTCAGTTTTTAGGTAGACCTGCACCTTGAAAACCCCTTTCATATTAAACTGGTCTGTATCAGCCAAACCCAGTTCCATTAAACTTCCAGCTCTTCCACATCCCTCCCCTCTGCATGAAGAGACAGCTGCTCAAACATGGGCTATGCTATGGGCTCAAGCTTCCTCCTGTAGTCTGAAGTGAGATTTGACAGGACACCAACTAATTGCAACCCAGCTTGCCTCAACTTGGCTCAGCATTGAGGAGGCTGAAGTTAAGTTCCTCATTCCCAGTTCCCTAGGAAGTAGGAATAAGGAACTGGGAACAATTCACTGTGGGGTGGCTGTGGGGCAGTGATTCCCAACCAGGGTACCACTGTTGGCTACAAAGCACCAACTCACAGGATCATCATACAATTCTAGTTTATTGGACGGATGCAAAAGTCAGACCATAAACCTTGGTGCTGATCCCCTCAAACACACACACGTTCACACGCGCACACACACACACAGTAGCTAGCTCTGAACACTAAGCACTGGTGTCAAGATATACCTATCTGCAAGCACTGGAGTCTGCCATCGAGGGCCAGTTGAGGCTTCTTTCAGTGCAATGTTGCTTCAGAAGGGGGTTGCCAGCTGCTCCTTCTGGCTGGACAGGCAGGGTGCTGGTCAGGACAAAGAGGGTGCCATTGGGGGTCATTCTTCGCTGCCTTTTATCCCTCTCTGGCAGACTTTGGCGATTCCCCAATTCTTGGGCTTACCCAATCCAGGGGTCATTGACCTCAAGGGACATCCATCTTGGTAGCTGCTGGATGGCACTTGTCAGCCCCAGGGGTCAAGTCTGCATGTACGTATGGTCTCAGGAGTCCATTGATGAATTTTGATTGATTCACTGCCATGATGAAAAAATTATAAAATAAAACAGAAAAGTACACCTGAAAGTATTGTATTGGAAGCCCCAAATCTTTCTATTTGCTGAAAAACTATGGTCCACTGAAAAATATGCAAATAAGTCTTCCTATTGATATTGCTCATTTACTCCAATGAGTGAGAACTGGGTCATCAAAGTTAACGCATCTCCTTCTCTTGAGGCAAGCAGTCCTAAGAAAGTGCTGACAGCCAACCCAAAAGTCCATTAAGGCTCTCTGCCCGTGACTTGGGTTTTGCATATGCTGCATCAATCAGCTGCCTCAAAAATTGTCCTACAGTTGGAACGCTTTTACTAATATTGCTTGTACAGTACAAGGGTTAAATGTATCCTGCCGATGCCATCGTACACCTTGCAAGACTGCTGGGAGGAGACAAGCCACGTGGGAGGAAAAGCGCAGGCCCTTCTCAGCAAAGGGGGAAGCACCCCAGGCCTGGAGCCTGCTGGGGCTAGAGACACGTGTAGTGGTGCCACATGCTGTGGGAGGGGGAGCTGTGGGAGGGAGCGGCTGGGGCCAGCTGCACGTGGAGCCGTGCTAAGGGGGCAGGGCGGGCAGCAGGGAGCGGGGCTCGGTTCCCATCAGGGTCCTGCATGTCAGCCACGGCGCCCTTGAACTCTCCCACAGGCCCTGGACCGTGGGGCCGGGCAACTAGGACCCCTAGCCACGCCCCCGCCTGTGACGCAAAAGCAGGGCAGTGCCTCTCCCCGACGCCAGGAGAGGTGGGTCTAAGCTCCCCCCCCACCTCCAGTGTTCCGGCCCCGCCCCTCGCACGCCGGAAACGGCCCCCTCGCGCGCTGACCCCGCCCCGGAAGTGCCGGGCCCCAGGAGGAGGCGGTTGCCCCCAGCTGCGGTTCGGGCGCTGGAGCTAAAATGGCGACGAAAACAGTGACCGGGATTCGCCTCAGCGCGGTGAGCGCCCTAACCCTCGCGGGGCGGTACTGGGCAGTGGCTGGGCCCGTCCCCGCGGTCTGGCTTCCCCCGACTCCCTCTAGCGCCCGCTGTCCCGTGGGGCGAGGCGGTGGCCCCGCTTCTCCTTCCGCCCTTCGGCCTCTTCCCCCGTGTGTTTGTGTATGTGTGTGTGTATCACGAGTGCGGCCTCCCCCACGCGGAAGCGAAACTGCTTGTTTCGATGTGGGGGCGGGGCCTGTGCCATGGGGGTGCTGCCTGAGGGTGCGGTGGGCAGCTGGTTAGTTGCCCCTAGATCTAGTCCCGCTGTGAACTGGGCTTGGACTAGCTCAGCGTTTGTCACAACCCAAAAGTGGGCAACAAGACTATATGAAAGGGTCCTGAGCAAACTTTAAAAAATGGATTTTCTTAAAAAGGTGGGAAACTGGGGCTTTTTCCTTGCAGGCTGGCAGAGGTTCAGCCTGTGAGGGGGGCCTCCTTGCCCGGGACAGTGGGGAGTGGATCAGGACTGGCCATCCATGTTTACAGATTGCTCCTGGTATGAAGAAGGCTGAGAATCACTGCTGTAGATTATTTCCTGGTAACTTGTTCACATGTCTGTGCCTTACAGATGACAGGAAAAAAGAGACACCCCTTATAGTAGGAACAGTAGCAAAATAGGCAAGCTCTGTTTGGCTGTCTGACCACTGCCAGAGAAAACTGCCATCTCCCTGAGTCTGGCAGTTGCAAACAGAGAGTACTTTGCAATACAAGTGCTTCTCATGGCTATCCTCTAGCAGCTTCTGTGCTATTGTCAGTCATCTTGGGTCCAAACCAATCTGCTGAAGTCAACAGGAGTCTTTCCACTGAGAGTGGGAGTCAGAACAGGTACCTGTGAAAATGGCATTGTTTTCTCTCCTCTTTGTTCTTGCACAAATGCCATCGCGGACATAAAATGCATGCAGTCGGAAACAAAAGTTAAATTTTACATTGAATACAAATTTTTCTCCTCCACAAAAAAGGTATGCTCGTGGAGCTCAGTGATGGACTGTTCAGGGAGGTTAAAGTATCCTGCCACCAGCTTTGGTGTCTTTCTGGAGTGGATGTTGACTTGGTACCTGTGCGTTCTGTTACATAGGGATTGCCTGTCTGGCCATTGTAGACGGCAGGAGGGTGCAAGTGAAACCTGGGCAGGGTCAGCAGTGTCAGGTTAGCCATTGCTTGTCCCCTTGCTACTGTAGGCCATCCCCAGCAATGTTCTGCAGCCCTAAATTTTGTGGCGGGCCCTGTTCTTCCCACCCCCAAATTTCTGGACCCACCTGAGCCTTATAAGCCCTATGTTTGACAATTCTTATTTAATCAGTCTGCTTACCACTGCTGTTAGCAACATCCCGCTCCCCTTGTCCCATTCTTTATAAAAAATCTTTTCTTTCTGCCAGTCCATTCCTAGCTTTGAATTGGATGTTGCCTGTGACAGCTCATACCTCTCTAAACAAATCAGTCTCAGAGGTGCCACCCTGCTCTATCTTCTGCATGACTTCAGACTAACATGGATATCCTCCTCTGGGGATAGGAAGTAATGGAGGAGTTATTTGGACCAACAGGCTGACAGAGACCTGCCAGTGTTGCAGAAAAAGGGGTGTCTCCATTGGCTCTCTTGCCTGTTACCTCAGTTGAAGTGAAAGAAATGTATACACAGATCTTTTCTGTTTTGGTAACAGCCCTCTTTTTCTTATGGCATATTTTATTTTCCTACTGTTGAAATTATATGAAACTTTGTTTAATAAATGCTGTTCTTTGGGTCATTGTAATCCACTGGTTAGACCAACAAATGTAAGGACTACAGGTGCTACACCCTGTCAGGCCTGCTGCACAAATACTGTCATTAGTTACACCTTCAAAATAAAAGCTATTATACATTTTTAAATACAGTTAATAGTATCCCCATGCAATGTTTAAGTTAATCAATGCAAACAAGTCTTATTTGCAAAAATCCATCATACTTGTTGGTAGCAGCAAGCACTCTAACCTGTTTTTCCTTTACATTCCTTTTAGAAAGAAAATTAATGAAAATTGTATGGCATGTCAAGAAGTGATATTATTGTTAAACACACAGATTAAAAAACCTATCATTTTGCAGTATGATATGAAATAATTGAAATATGGTCGATTTAGTAACAGTTCATAGTCTGTATCCTTATAAAATATTTCATTCCATTACAGGCACTACTTATAAAATGATAAAATAACTTCCTATCTTTCCATTGGAAAAGATGTATAACTAACTTTTAAAATCTCAGCTGTTTGTGCTGTTTTGGAGGTACTGGTCACAGCTCCATAGTTAACATTAACTTTGGAAATGGGATTTATATTTTCTTTCTCAATACATAGCTGATTTTTCATGATGCAAATTCAGAAGTATTAAATAGTTAACCTTTCAGTTTTCGTATTGTCTGAATTTTAATAAATTTTAAATAGAAAATATTAGAAAATGTTCTATGCCTAAAATTTGTTTCTATAAGTGATAAAGTGATTTTTGAAACAAAGTGTATACCAGTTGGTATAGATAGCAGGAGATCTTCTGGGAGGAGAGGCAGCAGGGCAGACCCTGAGCCCACAGTGGGCAGCCCACCCCCACCCTTGCCCCACACACAAATCTAGAGGGCAGCTGCCCCCCCCATCCCCCTCAGGAATGTGTGCAGCAGCAGGGAGCTAGCCCTGCCCCCCTGGATGAGCTGCCCATGGCCCCATTCTGCTCCCCACCGGGGCCCTGCGGCTGCACATTGCAACCCCAAGCTTCACGTACCGCCCAGCTGGGCACCATCTGCAGCCCTGCCAAACTCCTTCCCTCCCTATTCCACCTCAATTCCACCTCCCCCTGCCACTGCTGCCACTTACTTGCAGGAGCTGCTGTCCAGGCTGCCTGGTGGCCATGTCCATACACTTAGTGCCTCCTGCCTGACCATTCTCTCACTCCGTCCATCCCCTTGCAGGCTGGAACTCTGCCAGCCTGCATAGAACTCATTGCAAAACTGCAAAACCCACAGGTCTGTGGTAAAATGAGAAATCTGCGTTTTTCTTTGGTGAAGGGTAAAATCCATGCTTTCCTCCATTTTCTGTGGAAAATGGAAAACCTGGATCCTTGGTAATCAGGTCTGTTGTCTCTCATTTCCATATACTGCTGTTAATTAGGATGTTATCTGTGGAGATGACAAACTCTCCCTATGCCTGAAAAAGGGCGTTTGTGCCTGGAAGCTTGCAAAGAACAAATTTTCCAACTATTTAGTTGGTCTAATTAAAGAAAACCGATCTACCCGAAGAACCTTGTCTGCCTATGCTATGATCCTGCAGACACAAATCCACAGTTGAGAACTGAAACTAAGCATTACAGAGTTGCTTAATGGGATCTTCTAGACTGAGCACTGAGTCCCATTTGGTAGAGTGGTTTTCTTTAATCTTTACTAATCTAAAGATCAGGCCCCTAGTATAGTCTGTGGCCTCTTATGACCTATTTATAAAACTTCTAAAAGATTTACATGAATATATTATCTCAAACAGTATGTAATTAGAAGTTATAAACCCTATTCCATGATGATATCTTTGAGCTTTAACTATTTTAAATTAAAACTCTTATGTAAATTTATTTTTAAAAGCATCTTAACAAAAAAATCTAAAAATACAATTAAATAAAAATTGATTTAAATAAAAAAATCAGATTTTATTTATTTATTTTATCTACCCTGCATTTTAGTAATACTTATAACTGAAAGCTTAGGTTCAGAGAGTCATCAGTGAATGGCTGTCAACTGCTATTCTTTTTTTGCCAGATTCATCTAATGCCTCACTCTGTGCAATTCTGTTGTCTTGTGAGACACACCTGCTATTCTGTAAGGAAGGAAGTTTTATGTGCATCTGCTTACAGAGGATTTTCTACTGCATTTCTGAAAGATCATACCCTGTAGTATAAAAGGTTTTATCTTCCAGAGAAGTAAAACTGCTGATGAATGTGATCTTCATTGTTAGCAGCAGTATTTCTCTAGCTGATCTGGCAGATCTTACTAAATCTTCTTTTGGGATTCCACTTATGTGGCACAACTGTTTAATAGATATTAGAGGCTTGAAGGGACCTTACAGATCATCAGGTCCAGCCCCCTTGCACTTGGGCAGGAAAGACTGCTAGGATCAGATGACTCCATCAAGATGGGCGTCAAGAAACTTTTTGAAGATTGCCAAGGTAGATGACTGTACCATCTCTGGGGGAAACCTGTTCAGAACCTGTTCCAAACCTTCGGCATGTGACTTGTAAACAAAGTTTTTCCTTATGTCTAGCCTGAAGCGATCTTCAATCAGTTTGTGCCCGTTATTTCTTGTCCTCCCTAGGGGGGCCTTGGTAAATAGATGCTCCCCCAAGCCCTGATGTATTCCCCGATATAGTTATAGGCTGCCATCAGTTTATAGGTTGATGCACCTCCCTCATCTAAACTCTGTCATCTGCTTGAACATTATTTAAAAAGTGTACGATGGTTAATGTATAAAATAGTTTGAAACTGCTAAAACTCCTGCACATGAATTACCTGACACAGTATCAAGGAAAAAATAATCTGCCTAATAGTACTTATCTTCTAGTCCACTTTCATATCACACTACTGCTGTTACTACTGTGCGGGCCGGGAGCAACCCGAGCCCTTTTCGCGCTGCACGCGGGCTGTGGCCAGCAGCCCGGGCACGCCGGGGCAGAGAGGGAAGGCCTTCGAGCTGGAATTAGGCACGGACGCGTAGCGGTAGTTTAAAAGATTGTTTACTTACACCGAGATGGCAGTGGTGTAGGCTGGAAAACTTGCTTAAGTTGCGGTTACAGAGAGAAAAGAAAACAAAACTTGAACCTGCAGGGCACAAGGGTACGTCGCAAAGGGTTCCGGCGACGGGAAGATGAAAAATACGAGGGTACGTCACAAAGGGTTTCGGCGACGGGAAAGTAAACCTGCAGGACTCGAACCCGGGTAGAAGAGCTCTGAGGCCAGTCG